TATTGGTCAATTTTCTATGTTAGTCATTTTTCTTCAAATATCTACTTTGAATTATGGAATAAATTTTTTCAATATTTTCTTCAAAAAGTTGTATTCCATTCAAAAGTCGTAGACCTTTACAAAAATTGTGTTCAAGTCCATGAACTCTTTACAAAAGGATAGACATAGTATGTCAACAGAACAAAAAATGCAAAGGCACCACACTCCTAGTGACTCTCACTGCCACCACTCACATAGTCCTCATCATCAGAATCAGGGGCCTCATGAGGCTTGAGATCAGAAAGATCGCAATAAGGGAATGTTGCTGAGGCTTTCCTCCAGAGCTCCTCGTAGCTGTCAATGCAAGCACTGGCCTTGGCCCTCTCAGCAGCGTCCCTCTGAGCCTCTGCCCTGGTGGTTCTCTCAAGTGCTACATGAAGGTTAGTCTCAAATCGAGCAGCCCACTCATGTGTTTCCTTCAACTCCTCAACGGCACCCTCTCGTGCCTGCCGCTTGAGCCTCAGTTGCTTCTCGGCATCCTCTCGTGCCTGCTGTGCAAGCTCTGCGGCATCCTCTTGTACCTGTCGCTCAAGCCTAAGCTGCTCCTCAGCAGCCTTTCACATTTGTCTCTCCCCAGCCAACCTGTCGACCGCATCACTAATCTACAAGGTATTATTAAACAAGCTAGGTAAGGCAGCAGCCACCTGTAGGCATTTGAAGATAAGAGTACAAGGAAAGTCATAAAATAATATAGAATATGAAAAGGAAGCTAGATGCGAAGCAGGGGTATAAAACATACCAAAGCAAAACCCTCAACAATGGCTTTAATCATGCCCTCAAGGCCTCTGGAGACGATCTCTTGGGCCTCGACGCTGGTCACGAAATCACAGAATTTCTCCCTTGCCAACCTCACGTCCCGTAGCATAGATAATGGGGGAGCACCCGAAGTGGGACCGCCTAGCTGGTCCTCAGTCCTAACGGAAGGTGGTGCCGAAGCCTCAACACCTGCAGCAACGCTAGAACAGTCTCTCAGGGGTGGGGAGGCATCAACCAGAGAAGAAGGAGGAACATCACTAAGGTCAGCCTCTGTGAGATTAGCTTGACCGGTAGACCCCGATTGAGAAGAGATGGGGATACTATAGTCTAGACTTCGCCCTCTTGGAAGAGGGAGGAAGGGAAGATGCCACCCTGGAAGTAAGAACTTCCCCCACCATTGACGTATCAATGGGGGGACCTGTAGAGCCAGAACAATTCAAAAAGTCTGCCACATTGAGTTTTCAAGAAGACTACAAAATTAAAAGAGAAAGGATCAAGTACCTTTCTTTGTCAACGTGGAAGGAGCTATAGAGGTGCCAGACGCCAGCATAATCTCGAAAAAATCCTCGGTCGGGTTGTTGCGAACCATCTCGAGTAGCCTTTCCTGAATCGGAGTTAGAGTTGGTGCAGCTAAAAGAAGACAATCGCACCCTAAAAATAAATACATGAGGATGGAGACACAAATTAAGGGCAAAAATTTCTTACCTTGCTTTGTCTTTGGGAATGTATCCCATCGTGTGGGCACAAGGTCACGGTCGGACTCGGAGGCCCACTTGCCTCTAACAAAGAAGAACTTATTTTTCCATTTATGAAGGTTGGACATAAGCCCGCCGATAAACTTGCCTGATCTTGGGGTGAAGCGGTACCACCCCTGGTGAAGAGTAGGATTTTTCAACAGTGTATATGTAGCCAGAAACTCCTCGAACGGTGGAGGGACGGTAGCATCATGCACCAACCGCCACAAGACAAAGAACGCCGAAATCACCCTCCAACCATTAGAAGCCAGTCTTCTTGGAACCAGAGGCAAATGCTCGAGAACCCGACATAGAGGTTCAGGGATAGGAAACTGAAGGCCCGCCTCCAACATGCCCTCGTAAACGACAATCTCACCCAAAGAATCATAACATGCAGACTCATCGACCTCAGCGCGACGGTAAGTCACACAGGGTGGAATACGATATGATGAAACTATTTCGACAATATCTTCATCATGGTCAAGCAAGCTAAGTATAGAAACTACCTTGGAACCATCGTTTCCTCCAGCATTTGGACCTCCGTCGGAGTCCCGAGAAGTCTCCCTCTCGCCTGGATGAATATCCGCAAAAGCAAATTCAGGTTGTAGCTCAAGAAAATAATTATGACAACGAAAGAGTAAAAAAAATACTGCAACATACCTTGAGAGCTAGTCCCATGCAGATCGATGATCGATCGCCTTTTGGACTCGCGAATGGGGGACTGCACTACGCCTGGGGTGCCTACTGTAGAGCCTGGGGCGCCACCGAGTGCACCATGCGCGTCGCCTGAGGAGCCTGTGGAACCGCCCAGCCCATGACGGGCACCCTCTATCTCCTTTGAAGATCCACTCTGCTGCCCACCTGTGTCTGGGTCCCTCTCGATGCACCAAAAGGATTAATTGAAGCCTCTTTGCTCGTGCCAAATCTCGCACTAATAGTTCCGAAGGGTCGCTCATCAGCTGTCCAGGCCACGACAAAAGCACCACGAGGAGAAAGTCCCGAGCGTCTGAAGTTTGAAGGGAGATCACCCAAGCCCTTGGCACCGCCCACAGGGACCTCTGGTGCACTTCCTCTATGATTCTCCTCGACAAAGCCAAGCACTCTTTCGCCTGCATCATACCCAATGCCGCCTGGGGTGTGGGCACTACCTCTATTTTCTCCTCTCCGTTCCTCGACTCCACTGCCCAAAGCTTGGGAACCACCAACAAGCAAAGAGGCGCCGCCCATCTCCACTCTATGGGCGCCGCCCACCTGATTATTGGCATCGCCTGGTCCTCGGACCAACCCCTTAGAACTCTTCGACATTTTGCCCGATTTCCTTGAACTCTTGGTTTCTATGGATATTGAGTGATGGGAGATGGGTTTCAGTAGTGAAGGTGGTATGAGTGTTGAACAATGAACTCTTGAAGTGGCTTATTTATAGAGGAAGAATGGCTTCTCAAGGAAGCCTTGCTAAAGCTTCCTAAAGAAGCTTGGAAGAGGCTGCCTTTGGACAGAACAATTGGAAAGGGGAGAAGAATGAGCAAGACATGAACAATGACCTCTATTTATAGACGAGGATATATAAAAAAAATAAAATTTGATCGATTTCACTGAATTGTGCTAAAAACTCAAATTCAAAGGAATAGAAGCATTTTTTGGGAAAATTAGCTGACCAAATTGCTTTCGGAAATTTCTATGTCGTAGATCTCGAAAAAATACCCGAATTCAAAAAAAAATTCGCCTCAAATAGAGTCCCATGTGCGAAGTTATAGCTGTTTGAAGTTTTGCCGGATTTCAATACTCCAGCAGTCCCTCTTGCCCATGGGCGCCTACCTCATGGGCTTGGGCGCCTACCTCTTGCCTTGGGCTCTTGCCTCATTGCCTTGGGCGCCCACCTCAACCACATGGGCGTCACCCAACAGCTCACATGCACACCATGATTATCACCCACCAACTGCTCCCTCCTTTGATTCTTTAGCTGCTTCTCCAAGGGAGCACCATTGAAGCCCTCTTCACCTTTCCCATCTCCAACGTGGGCACCGCCCAAAGCACCTCCATGGGAGTCTCCTATGATATCAAGGACGTGGACTCTTCCTCGCTTCTCTCCTTCACAACTGTTTGAACTCCTAGTTCCCATGAACTTGTTGTGGCACCGAAGGAAATACAAGAAAAATCCGACTTACTCCGGTGAAGTTGTAGCACATGCCCACAACCCCTTCCTCTCACCGAAAGTCAGAGGCTTGGGGCATGGGGGGCAAATGATGAGCCTGAATTTTACTAGGCCAAGCCCAATTTAAATAAATCGAGATAGCCCAAAAAAACATCCAATGTCAGCCCATTGAGGAAGACACCAAGAGGACAGCACCAAAATCCAATGGCCAAAGAGGGAGGAAGATGAGGAAGCCCTTGGGCGCCACCCATGGCAGCCCCTTGGGCGCCCCTCCTCTTGTTCCTCTTCACCTTGGTACTCTAATCCGAGTCCAAGCCAAGCCTACTCAAGACAAGTCCAAGTCCAAGACGAGGGTCAAGCTCAATCCAACTAATGTTCTCCTCCGGATGAATAGGAGCACGAGGGAAGATAATATGGAGATAGACATAAAAGGTCTCCTACCATAACAATACTTGCCAAAGCAATAGAATTCTTCTCCCTCACGTCACTGCCTCTACTACCTTACCCTAGCTATATAATGTAAGCCCTCTCAATATTGAGGGCAGGCCTCCAAAACCTCTACACCCACTCTTATACACAATGTTTTCTCTTTTTCTCCCTCAAAGTACTGTAAGTCTCTGGAGTACCATCACTCATCAATAAAGAACACCGGCCACCACTGCTATTCTAAAAAGTGGAGTAAGTCATCCGAGACTGGACCACTATAAATCTTTGAGTTCTTATTTACTGTTTTTGCCATTGATTGTTTGTTGCTCATTGATTGCACTTATTCACCTTCTTGACTGTCAATCTTGCACAAGACAATTTTATGCATCATTAATTTTGACCAATGTTTTGAAAAAATAATTATTAAAATTTTTTATTTTTTTAATTCTATTTTCGAAACAGCTCGAAACGTTTTCGAAACATGTCAAAATGTTTCTTAGTTGATTGTAATAATACACCGAAACAAAATTTTGATACTTGGTTATGGAGCTGCGCCTCTTGTTTTCCTGATATCCCTACATTTAAGTTATTACCCCGTCCCCCCTAGACTTGCCTATGGTAAATAATTAATGATTTTGGCAATTCTTTTCTCTGTAACATGTTGCACAATGTGCCCTTGTTTAAAATTATAAGGCTAGAAAGCTAAGCATTTAACTTTGAATGAATCTATTTGTTTCATAGAAGGAACTCCCTCCACACTGCAGGATGAAAAAAAAAAACTAAACATCAATTGGAGACGAGTGGCTACAACAAGCTTGTTTGGCTTCGTATATGTTGGACCGGTTGGTCACTTCTGGTTAGTGTTTCTTCCTCAATTTAGAACAAACGAGGCTATGAACTATGTGTATACAGGTTTGCAGTTTTCTGCGTAACGTCTGGGTAATATAGGGTAGAAGCTTGTACAATTTTATACTAGCAGAGTGGTATTTTCATACCTCGGAATTCGTAGTCCTCGATTGTCACATTTCAAATATTGTGGGTGAAATTATTCTAGGGAGCAGTGCCTGAAATTTTGGCAGACAAGGAAAGCCCATTAAAGTGTCTATGACTGTCGATGCACGTTCATATACTTTGTTCAGCCTTCAGCGTGCTTAGAATATTTCTAAAATTGAAAGTAGCAATGAAACCAGAATACGGTGAATGTGAAACCCAGGGCTTAAGCATTATACTTACCGTCTTGGTTTTTGTGCATTTTTACTCCCTTACTACAGTCAGGCACAAAGAGCATCCCATCAAATACTGATAACAAGGCATGGCTTAGGTCGCTGTTCAGGAATGTGTTACGGTTTACGTTATTTGACTGAGTTTTGTCTTAGGCTTTCTGTACTCCACACATACTTATTGGCTCTTATTGATGCAATTAGTTTCATAACTTCTCAATCATCAATTTTTTCATAAAGTAACTCCTTGAGAAAAAGGATGGATTGTCAAAGTTGGCTGGCCTTTCTTTGAATGACAAATGCATCTTTAACCATTTGGAAGAGATTATTATTATCCACATGTTGGAGGAATACAATATTTAAGGCAATAGGTTAGCTATAGACAGAAGAGGTACCAATCTACATCTGTTGTGGCTGATGCATTTTATATTGTACGTAGTACGTAATTTACAGAGCCTCTTGTTAGGGGGGGGGGGGGGGGGGGAGAGAGAGGGAGAGAGTTCAACCAGAGGTACAATTTGGTAAAGCTGGAGGGAAAATATTAAGAGCTGTATCAGGTATTTGGATGCTATCTTATAAAATCTGTAAGGGTCTTTAAATGCTTGTACATGACTTTTTTATATTTCTTTGGCACATGGATAAGAGAACAAGATTCTAAGAGTTATACTGCACTACACCAAGCTTGTGGTGTCATTGATTACTTCTATGCGACTCTTAATGGATTAGTCAGCCAAAAACTTCAGAAAACTAGATCACTCCAGAATATTCAATTGTTTGTTTGTTCATTGCTGCATAAGTAGTGGTACTATGACTTATCCACAAAAGTTCCACTTCTGAAACGCCATGCAGAATAACACAGTTTTAGACCAATAATTGTGTTGCTTAAGAAAAAAGCTTGCTTCAAGATAGACATGTCAACGGTCTTGTTTTTCCCTCATCTGTAGGTATGAAGGATTGGACCAGTTTATAAGGCTGCGGCTTCAACTACAACCAAAATCCCATTGGTTCGTCTCTACTAAAGTAGCAGTTGATCTGATAATATTTGGGCCCTTGGATTTACTTGTGTTTTTCACTTACATGGGTTTTTCTACTGGGAAAAGCACTGCTCAAGTCAAGGAAGATGTGAAGAGGGACTTTCTCCCAGCCTTAATCCTGGAAGGTGGCTCGGGGCCAATTGTTCAGGTTGTCAACTTCCGATTTAATCCTGTGAGATATCAACTCTTGTATGACAACTTGTTCTGCTTGTTGGATAGCTGTTTTCTTTCATGGATTGAGCAACAACAGGATGCTCCTTGGAAGCAATGGTTCCAATCTTTTTTGGTTTTGAAGGAAAAAAAAGGCGAAGGTGGATAGTTTTTTTTCCAGCCCGGAAGGTAGTAAGGTGGGTTGTTGATTCTTCCACAATATTGTTTCTTATTTTTTTTGTTGGTCTCAATGATCATAAAGTAGAATACAAATCAGAGACGTGTGAAAGATTTTCTCAAATTTCTAGTGTCCATTTTTGAGCTAGCATTTGGGAAGTGATCGATGTCGCTTAAGCTTAATACCATGTTTGACTTAATATACCAGGAGGCTGATGACTGTTCCCTGTCCACTTTTCAATGAAGATTTGTGGCTTCCAATGCTCTCATGTTCTGATTTTACTTGTTCCTATATCAAATCAATTGAAAGAGATTTGATGACTGCTTAATGGACTTCATTGTTTTCCTTTTCACGTGTTCTTTGGTTTTCCTCCAACATTTTAATCCAAGCACTGATTGATGAGATAGAAGTCAATTAAGCAGGTTGATGAGAGAACGATAAGGTTTGAATCCGCAACCTTAAGGTCTAACAGCGGGGCCGAAGCCATTAGGCCAACTGCTAACCGTACCCATTCAAAGCATCCAGGTTTTCCAACAAATTGGTGCTCTCTCTCTCTCTCTCTCTTAAAAGGGTATTTTGGCATTGAATTTCAGTGGACCTGCATATAGGTAAATTATATGTCACATGTTCTGGAAAACGATTGTTATATGTGCAAATTACCCAAAATTTCACTTTGTAAAGAATTAGAAGCAAACTCTGTTGCTGTGTTTCACTGGTCATTGGACATGTAGAGACCCAACTACTTCACATGAAAAGATTAAAACACACAGTTCTCCAAAAGTGCCTGTGCCTAATGAACCATAACCTCAAATGTATAGTAGTATGCTTTACAGCCCATTAACAGACATTCCAAACTGAATGGCTTTTGTGTACATAAGAAAAAGCTCTTCTCTTCTTTCACTGGGCCATTTGCTGCCAGCTTTTGCTTATGACGGTAAATGGCATTGCAGTCTATTCAGCATATCAAACATGGTACATCTAATTTCTGCTTATCAGATAATTTCAAAGCTTGTGCTGTTAGGAAGGTGGTAAGGTCAAAGTTTTCTGTAAATGGCATGCCTTAACTTTCAGTTGTCATGGACTTGCCAATGCAATTCCTCCAAGACAACCTGCCGGATATATAAATTAGATCAACCTAAAATTTGTTAAAAATCTACTAATGTGATAGAAGCATGATTTAACTAAGAGCTACAAGTCCTTTAGAGCTAACACCCATCCCTCAGAGCGTCGGTCTCTGGTCCACAACATATTACATCTATGTCATCAGCGTCTCGCCTGACTTCTTTTAAAAAAAAAACACGAGCTTCCAGTGTATATATTTTTGCCTTTAGACCGATCCAAGTCCAACAAACATGCAAAAGGCCAATGAAATCTAAGCCATAAATAGTCTCTGCTACCACACAATATAAATAAATTTAGACCATTAAAATTAGAAGTCCTGTGGCACATGCTATCCCAACAGCACAAGTCTCCAAGATGAGAAGAGATTGTACAAACAGATCAAGAGGCAAGTTGAATTATTATTGTTATTTCCAAAAAAAATAAGTCAGATTCCTATGTTTTTTTCTTTATAAAGAATCAGGAAAAAAAATAGAAGCATAAAAACCAATGGAAAATCTCCCTTAAAAGGAGTGGTAATTTATCTCTAGATAAAAAAAAAAAAAAAAAGGTTCAATCACCCAAGCTTCCATCAACACCTTCTGTTCCTCATCTTTCTATCTTTTCATGTCGTATCCTCGAATCAATGCATGAGCCAGATGGATAAATACCATACTCACTACTGTTATCACTAGACCAATTTATGCTATTCTCCTGACTCAACAATCTCAATAATAATTTATTCATATGCTTAAGGTGTTGGCTGTCATCAATTGTGCTATGTCCAGGTCTTATTCCCTCACTGACTTCAGACAGAGAAACATCACCTTCCAAAGCGCGGACTACCTGTGTAGTTTTCAACATGTTTCCATATTAAGTGTGCAAGAAATTAAGCAAAACACAATACGTGTTTGAACATCCCCTGAAATTTAGCAATCACACTCGGTAATCTTAGTTCAAGTTGCTCAGAACCCTGGACTGTGTCAAATGAGCCATGCGCTTAACTGTTTCTCTTTTTCAAGCTCTAAAAAGATCGTGCAAAAGGTCAACTGAAAATGATCCCAATAAACCACCTTCAAATTGGATTTTTTGGTTGCGGTGGTTCCTTGAGTAAAGAGATGTAGGCTCGTGGCACATTTGTTTGCCTATAACCACATTTTCATAGTTCACAAATTTTTTATAGTGCAAAACAATGGTGCCTCAATCAAGTATGCCCAAGTTACCTGGCTCATTCGGGGACGACGCCATGTCGAGTGACGGATGCAGGAAGCAGCACAGGCAACCATGCTAGCCATCTCTTCATTGTTGTAGTTCTTTTGCAACCGTGTATCTGCAAGAGTGTCATAATTTCCATCTTCCAGAGCCTGTGTAAGCAAAGGCCTAGCCTACAAATCCAACACAGTCATGTTATATTGATATTCTCTTAAGCTTAAGTTTGCGGACAATGATGCTCCAAACACAGAGAAGGGTCCTCCATGAAATATCATGGCATAGTTTTTTGAGATAGTCTCAACTCACTAATCCACTAATCCCTATTTGGGAATGACTTGCATCTAAGTTTTAAGCCCAAAGCATGGTTTCTCATGCACCTCTTTGATAATTTTCTATTTGCAGGACAAAGTGAGCTGCTTATAGTGGTCCAATACTCCCAAGTGATCATTTAGAAACTCCAAGCGGACTTAAATATTTTCCAAGGTAATTTCCACTACTGGAATTTGAAAAGGGAACACAAAGGTAGTGATGCAAGAAACATACCCAAGAGACCAAGCTATGGTTCATTGCTGATTCTGTTGTGTAAAGAGGCTGACGTCCAGTAATAAGCTCCAGAATCACAATCCCATATGAGAAGACATCTGATTTATCCGAAGCTTTCCCACTTTCTGCATATTCTGGGGCCAGGTACCTGCAAGCAGTGATTCAACATCTTATGGAAGACAAAATGTAGGTCGTCAAATGGAAGATGAAAACCATGTTGATCTTTGCAGGACTTAGCCATCAATAGAAAGTGGGGTAGTGTTGACTGAAATGCAAATGGCGTCTCAATCTACTATCAACTGCTTGAGGGCTCAAAGTTGTGTTTGTAAAATCTAACCATTTGGTTGGCCCAAGACCAACCACTTTTAGAAAATGCAACATACAGTTGCCGAAACGGTTGGAATCCAATTGACAGTCAAACCCAAATGTCTGAGAAAAGGAAATGATTTATTGAAAATTCCCAGCCAAGATCAAGAGTGCCCATCATTTCAAACAATTAAGAATATTTCTAGATATACATCTGAAATACGTGGTAATAAGACAGTTACTAAAAAATGGTGTCTCACCCAAAAGTTCCCACCACCCTAGTGGAGACATGAGTGATGTGGTGGTTAGCATCAGAAAAAAACTTGGCAAGTCCAAAGTCAGCAACCTGAATGGAGAAATCAGGTCATTAGATGAACATAAAGTTTTACACAAGAAATCTGGATATCTATAAGACCCCAAGACCTGCCTCATGTAGTAGAAAGACAACTAACCAAGGAAAGTAGAGTCTACAAAGAATGGGGCTAAATTTGAATTTGTTGACATAAAAATAAGGTGACCATAGATCTGACCAAGCACACATTGAATTTTGAAATGATGCCTACTATTCAGTGGATGAGGCTCTTCAGACAGATTTTATGAGCCACCAACAGTCAGCAAAAGACCAGTGGATTTATGTCATAGGTAGCCCAAGCTACTGCAAATGATAAATACTAGCTAAATCGATAGTATGGCTTTACCTTTGGCTCGAAATTTGAGTCAAGAAGAATGTTAGCCGCCTTAGACTCAATGCTTATATCATTTAGAATAGGATCAATTTAGTTCAGACCAAGTGAGACACTGATAAAAAGAATGAAATCTGGGTGTGTTAAACCCGGGAAAATTCAAATTTTTAATGAAAAGGGTAAAACGGTAAATTGTCACTTTAGTACGGGTTGAAAATCCGTATTTTTTTAGAGCTCGGATGACGAAATGGACCTCACCGTTGGATTCGTTTCGCGAAATTTAATTACGTTGACAATTTTCGTCAAATTCCGAGATAGTTGGTTTATTGCATTTTTTGAGGTGACCGGGTGTCGGGTGACCTCAAAAATAAAATTTCTAAATTTTTATTAATATTTAAAGAAAGTTCATATAAAAATATTTTGAACTTAAAACGAGACAGAATTTAATCATTTTGGAACGAAAACGGACCCGGGAATAAGGAACGCGTGGCGTGACGTGGACCAAGCGTTAAAGAGTATAAATAAAAACAAAAAAATCTGATTTTTCCACACATCTCTCTGCTGGATTTCCAGTGGATTTAACGTGTGAAGAGGAAGAGAGGGAAAGGAAGAAAGAAATCAAGATTCAAGACTTCTCTCTACGATATACGGAGTTCTGTCGGTCGGAATTTTTCGGGCCAAGTATTAAAGTCGATCTGCGCGACTAAGGCTACGCAATCATACCAAAAAGAACGGGTTTCACCGAAGATTCAAAGACAAAATTTTGAAAAAAGTTTAGTTTTGGGTAAGGTTTAGGTTATTGAAGCTTCCTAGCATTATTTTACGCTTTAAGAAATAGAGTTTTCATCTTAATTAGGTTTGTTTCTAATCTAGAATGAATATATCAAATGGGTGGACTGTTATGTGTATTTTAACACTTGTCTATTGTAGTTGATTTAATGGAAATGAGTAAATTCAATTCTAGTATATATTGGTAATTAAAAATTGCTAGTTTGTGATTTATTGGAAGTTTTGATAATTGAGTATGTGAAAATCACTTAATCTGATTTTTTTTAATTATGTGATGAATTTAGGCATTTTATTTGATTACATGATTTGATGTCTTGAAGGTGTTTGATAAAATGCCTATGTGAAATAAAGTGTGTTAATTGTATGAGATTATGTGATAACATGCTTGAAAAAAATTGTTATTAAATGCAAATGTTGATACATACTCATGATATATTGATATGATGAGGATTTATAAAAATTTTATTCTTTGGGTATAATTGGCCATGTTATGTGTTGAAATGAGATTGAGATTGTTCATATGACATTCATAGCATTTTGGACATAATATTGAAATTGAAATCATACATTATATTGCATATGCATGGAAACATCACATACACCCACACACCCGAGGGATTTTCTAACCCTTCTTGCTAACCCCGACAAACTATTTGACTTAGTCAAACCTCGGCCCAACTATGTCGAGCCCATGAATCATTCACCAAGAATGGTGTTTGATCAAGCCATGCACCCACATCAACACTCATATCCACGACCAAGAATGCGACGTCTCCGTACATATGCAATGTAATTTATGATTGCAATTTTAATATTATGTCCAAAATATTATGAATGTCATATGAACAATCTCAACCCCATTTCAACACATAATATGACCAATTATATCCAAAGCATGTAATTTTCATAAATCCTCATCATATCAATATATCATGAGCATGTATCAACATTTGTATTTAACAACAATTTTTTTCAAGCATGTTATCACATAATCTCATACAATTAACACACTTTATTTCACATAGACATTTTATCAAACACCTTCAAAACACTAAATCATGTAATCATATAAAACGCCCAAATTCATCACATAACTCAAAAAAATCAGATTAATTGATTTCCACATATCCAATTATCAAAACTTCTAAGAAATCACAAACTAACAATTTATAATTATCAATACATACTAGAATTGAATTTACTCATTTTCATTAAATCAACTACAATAGACAAGTGTTAAAATATACATAATAGCTTACTCATTTCATATATTCATGCTAGATTGGAAATAAATCTAGTTAGGATGAAAACCCTACCTTTTGAAGCAAAAAACAATGTACCTTGCTCAAAATCAATATTTTTTCAAAAATCTGTTTTTGAATTTTCGGCGAAACCCGTCCTTTTTGATATGGTTGTGTAGCCCACGTCGCGTAGATCGACTTTAATACTTGGCCCGAAGAATTTCGACTAACGAAACTCCGTAGATCGCAGAGAGAAGTCTTGAATCTTGATTTTTTTTTTCCTTTCCCTCTCTTCCTTTCACACGTTAAATCCACTGGAATCCAACAGAGAGATTTGTGAAAAAACCAGATTTTTTTGTTCTTATTTATACCCTTTAACGCTTGATCCACGTCGCGCCACGCGTTCCCTATTCTCAGGTCCGTTTTCACCCCAAAACGATTAAATTTTGTTCCAGTTTAAGTTGAAGATATTTTTATATGAACTTTATTTAAATTATAATAAAATTTTAAAAATTTTATTTTTGAGGTCGTTTTTTAGTCACCCAACACACAGTCGCCTGGAAAAACGTTAGACGAATCTAACTGTGAGGTCCGTTTCTTCATCTGAATTCTAGAAGAATACAGATTTTCAACCCGCACCAAAGTGACAATTTACCGTTTTATCCTTTTTCATAAAAAGTTCGAATTTTTCCGGATTTTACAAGATGAGTTCAGGAATGGTGACTTCTGTGGCCAAAGCCATTGTTGTTTATCCGAGGAGTGCCAGATGCATTCGCTCTAGTGTTCCCCAAGGCATAGGAAAACGAATCTGCCAAATTTTATCACTAATTTTCCTACAAGGATTCTTTTCGACATTACTCTTCCCCCATCCCACCCTTCCCAAACCAACCAAAAAATAACTCCAAAAGAGAAGAACAGCACTTGAGTATCTTGGTTAGAAGGGGTTGCCAACTAGATAAATTTTGCTTTCGTGCACGTGCAGATACCCATATAATTGTACACACACAAACAAATCAGGAAAGGAACTTACAATCCTCATGGAGATATGCCAGTCCATTGGCAGACCCTATGGCAATTTTCAATCTAGTTGCCCAATTCATAATAGGCTGGCCTTTTCCTGCAACACATTGATTCTGTGAGCAAATACAAAGGCATCTTGAGACACAATTTAAATGGTGTATCAGAAAACCTCATTTTATATAATTTTTAATATATTAGAAAAAATCAAGTCTACAAGTTAACTATTTGCTGATGTTAGAGTAACAGTCAAAGGGAAAAAACAAACATAGACAAATTAAGAAAATGAAACATCTGCCAATGGATGTATTCTGACTCAAGAATAATCAATGACTTTCTTTTTGTTGAGCAAATGACTTGTGACCGTTTGGATACTCCATTCAGTTCATACAAGATTCACAAGTCTTAGGGTAAAAGATCACTGAGATGGCCCCAAAATTTTTGTTTCTGTAGTTACGTAAACATAGAGCACTGTAAGGTGCAACAATGGTAACAGTCAAGAAAGTTGCATATCTAAGTCCAGGTCCTAAGATTTATGGTCGCACCCCACCCCATAAAACCACTCACCCATAGGGAATAACGATAAGTTATGAAGACAAGTTTCTTTAAGCTCCAAAAATTTGGCAAGCCTAAGAAGGACTACATACTGAGTTGACACTTTTGTTTTGGTACTTGAACAAATAACAGAAATAGACAATAGCCCATCAAACAAATTGATTTGATAATTACATTCTTATGGCTTAAGATGTTTGATTGCTTGTGAATCTATCCTAGCACCTCAATTTTTATCATGCAGAGCTATTTTATAGGGTGCCTCATAGTGAAGTTCAGAGCTTCTCTTTCCAGTCATGTATATCAAAACTGAGGTGGTTACAGAAACATTAAATGTTGAAGTACTATGCTTGAAGATATATTCTTGCAAGAACAAAGAAAGAGAAAGAAAATCAATTGATTTCTAAACCAGGGCTCATTGCCAGACATGATTAAAGTAGGTCAGCAATCAGAAAAAGAAAATCACCATGTAAATGAAATTCCAAGGTATTGTTTGGAAGAAACTCATAAATAAGCAGCCGCTCAGCCCCGGTCATGCAATACCCAACCAATGAAACAAGATGCTTATGATGCACTCTGCTAATTGTCTCAATCTCTGCTTGAAATTCACGCTGGCCTTGCCGGCTTCCCATCTTCAACTGTTTCACAGCAATTTTTTTCCCATTCGGAAGGATTCCCCTGTGGACATACCCAAATCCACCTTCTCCAAGAAGGTTGGCCTCTGAGAAACCGCGGGTTGCTGCTGATAATTCTTCAATTGTAAAATTGCCACATGACATTCCTAAGGCCTTGCCATGGAATCAAGGTGAAAAGTAATTCTCAGACTCCGAATTGACAGAACAAGAATCCCCTGATGCAATCAAGACTGCAGATAGCTTTCAAATATGCATAGACTACACAACTAATCAAAATATAACAAGAGGGAATTGAACCATTCTGCTCTTTAGGTTGTATTAAAAAATTGTGATCTGAAAGCTGATTTCCAATGATTTACAAGCGACTAAAATTTCTAGAAAATAAAACTCAAAGCTGTAAATTCCTAAGAGTTTGGCAATCCAATTTTATAAAAAGTAATGATTACTGTCAAGAATCTCCATTCAGTCAGTAAGTCGAACCACTCTGAACTTGTGCATTCATATCTACCCTAATTTAAGCCCATCCATCTACTCATACTTCTCGGTATCTTACACCATCAATTTTGGTCATTGACTAAATGCATCTATGAGGAATACCCAATTATTTCCATTTTTTCAGAAAATTTGGGATGTTTAAATTAGAAACCCAAAAGGGTTTGGCTACTATAATCTTCATCAAAGCAGTTGGGCAAACCATGCAATACCAACTAGAATTTTTGACATCATTTTTTGAATTAGAAATAAAAAAATGCAGTAATCTCTAATTCTTACTGAACAATAGTAAAAATACAGTGAAAATTGTTTTTTTTGGTACAACTGGAACCCTACCTTTTGGGGGTGGTGATTCACTGAATTTCCTTTTTCTGTAGCAAAAAAACAAAATTGATAACACAAAAAGTAGAAGAATTCCAGTAACTCCAACGCTGATTCCAATTATGAGCCCTATATTGTTTGACGTTGAAGTCGAGCTAGACGATGATAACTCTTCGGGACTTGGTTGGATAGGCGGTGGAGGTGGAAATGCAGAATTTACCGGAGGCATAGTCGTGAAAATGGGCAAAGGTGGTGGATATGACAAGCCAATTGCCGGTGGCGACGGTGGCGGTGGTGGTGGTGCAGAAGATATCAGTGGCAATACTGGACGGCTAGGTGGGGTTGATGAAGCTGATGAAGGCGGTGAAGGACTTGGAGAGTAATCTATCGGTATTGACGGAGGTGGTGGAAAGTTGATTGGCATTAGTGGCGGCGTCAGTGGTGGTGGGCTAGAGACCTCCGCTGGAAGTTCCGGGGATGGAGTCTCCGATGGTGGTGTAACTGGTGATAGAAAAGCGGGTGGCGCATTGGGTGTAGGAGGAGTGGTGAAACTATAAGGTGGCGGGTAAAGGGTGGTGTCCTGGTCATACTGTGGTAGTGATGGTGGAGGGGTGGCGACATTGATAAGTTTGATACATCATTATTAATAATCCACGTGCTTATGAATAGATCAAGTGATGGTGTGAAACTGTTACAGAATGGAACTGAAATACTCTGATAACCTTAAATCTCTCGATCCTTCTCGCTATTAGTTGCTTCCCAAAGTAATAGCCTACGCGCCAAAAATAACAGTGTCAAGCACACTTTATATTTTGGAAAAATTACAATCATTTTCTTGAAGTTTGGTCAAATAACAATTGGACCCATTCTTGTTTAAAAAATAACACTGAATACCTTTGTCACTAACGTCCGTTTAATTAAACAGCTGCAAAATATCAAATGATAATATTACCCATTAATTAGTCAAAATATTTACTACGCACTTACTGTAAAAAAAGACAAATTCCAAATTTTAGAAATTATTTTCTTTGAATAATATTTTCACTAACTCAAAACTCACAACTGAAGTTGAAGAAGAACAAATAAATTAGAATATAACTTCAAAAAATAAGGGAAGAAAAAGACTTTAATTATTATGGAGAAATTTAAGTTATCAAACTTAGAATCAAAAGCTTACAAAAGAAAAAACTTATAGGAAAGAAAGTAGGAATAAACTGGTGATTTGGGTTGGTGGGGGGTCTATTTATAGGTGACTAGAGAAGAGTCTAAAAGCTCAAGGTAGGTGGAGGTTTAGAAAGTTCAAGATTTCTAACTTTATTGGTAGAAAACTCAACAAAAATACCAAGTGCAAATATGTTCTACAAAATTCTAGATATTAAAATTTTAAAATACATTAATTCTCGCTATATCCCTAAAAAATAATTACCAAAAATTTACTTTAAATTTTTAACACCATACAACCACATACACCAAAACCGAAGAAGACCACTTTCCCATTTCGGCGATGACCATTGTCACTCTTCCCCACTCAACAGCCTTGGCGCCCCACCTCCACCACCATAGATAGCAAGTCCCACCCAATGGGCACCACTTCTTCTTCTCTCTCTTCATTTATACACAACCATACAAAACTTTCTCAAACCCACCTACTTCACCACCATTCAAAACCAATTGAAACCCCAAATCCACCACCTCTAGAACCATTTCACAAAGCCAATTGCAAAATTCAGAAATCAAAAACTATAGAATGGGTCTTCTTCAGTGCTGGTCATTCATCAATTGCATCCTTCGAAAAGTTGGCCTCGGGAACATTATTCGTGTCTCCTTTAACTGATGGTGAGGTGTGGGGAGGCAAGGCCGGCTCAACAGTAGAGCCAAAAAAAACATTGCTTTACCCCCACCCCACCCTCACATAAATTTAAAATTTAAGTCTAAAAGTGCAAACTACTTCATATATACACATTTATTAAAAGATACAAAAAAGAGTGTAACACTTCGGTAAAAAAGTATAATAAACATTTTTCTCTCTTTTTTACAAATAAAAATAAATTAAACACATTTTTTACTTCTCTCAAATTCGATTTTTGTTCTCATTTAAATACAAAAATACCAACTAATTAAATTATTTATTTTCATAAAGGATTCACAATAAAAACTAATTAATATAAAAAAACTTTTAATAAATTTGTTATAAGAGAAAATAAAACATAACTAAACAATAGGTAAACGTTGCATACATAAATAATTAAGGATCATAAAAAAATTAAAAATAATAAAATAATTTAATAACAAGAAATTATGAATGCATATTGATAGTCGATAATATAATACCACAATATTCATAAAGAACATAAAAATAGTAATAAAACAATATATTATATTCTAAAAAGTGTGATTCAAACAAAAGAAAAAAGAAACAAACAGATGTGCGAATTTGTTTGTTAAAAAAAGTATATTTAACAATGATGATCTATGTATATTTACAATTCTTATAGATTGTACTATTGAACAGTTGCACTCAGATAATATGGGTATGAAATAACATATATGTAATGTTTAATATATATTATTTGCCTAAATTACTAAGAAAAAAAATTATGTTACACGATGTTGTAACATTGAGCATTTTACTATGACAGTACTTTGTAACTGTTCACATATTATTTTTGATATATTAAAAAAATGCATAAAATATGGAGTAATATATATATTTACCTTTGATCTTTGCGTATTATTCAATAATAAATTTGTCTCACTTAATCAGTTTCATGAACAAATACTTGATAATGAGGGACAAGCAGAAACTATAATTGTTAAGAGATGCACAAATACTTCAATCTTTTGAATGGGAAGAGCCATAGCAGGGCCAACTCTAGGGTTTGATCATTAAAATAGTCGTCAAAGGCCCCAAAAATTTAGGGTCCCAATTTAATTTTCAACCCTTAGTTGAATTTCATGTGTTTGAGACCCTTTTGAATTGATCAAGTTAAAGGTCCAATATATTTTATAAGCCTATCTAAAACTTTGTAGAAAGCCTTAAAATGTAATAATATTTTCACATCTTTGTATAAAATCTTATATAAAGTCTTAAAATATAACAAAACTTTCTAAAAAAATCTAAAAAAACTATTTCTAAATTTTAAAAAGACAATTTCTCTCAAATTCTTTTTACTATTTTTTTACTCTACTCTCATCGCCTCTGTCCAAAATTTTCTCCCCCTCTCATTCACATTGTCTTGCTCTAATTTTTTGTTCTTATCTCTAACCCTTTTATTATATCTTTAAAACATCTTTCAATTTATTTATCTATAAGATTGTGATTTTACAACTGCACCTAACTCTTTATAAAATGTCTAATTTTCATTAAAAAAATTTTATTATCTTCTTAAAATATTAAATGAGGTCTGATTATGAAGTTATCCCCAATTTATATTAGGCCGCCAAAGAGAAGTAGGGAGGGAGTTGGGGGTTTTGCGCGTGGGAGCAAGGGTCAGATATCTATATAATAAAACACATAACAACTTAAATTTTTTATCTAATAACACACATAACAACTTAAATTTTTATATCTTATATATAATTTTTTTCTAAAAATTCACATCACTCATTTTTATCACATATTCAATCATTTAATATTTGATTAATTTATAATTTAACATAATTTTTATTTTAAATATTACTCATATACGATAGTATACACATGTTGAAAAAAAAATTAATACAATGTGATCGATTTTTTGGAAGCTCAAATTTTATGTTTTATCGTACCTTTAAACACTGACTAATTTAATTAAGACACTGATTCAGATTATGACTAATTTAATTAATTAACAAATAATTTGAAAGTTATCCCCCCAAATCCATCCCTTCGTCCCCCATATCCGTGGCCTCACTCCTCTGTCAAAAACTAGAACCATGCTGCCCTATTCAGCTTGCTTTATCCCTTCTTTTTTTTTTGCACCCTCTCTCTCTGTTATGCTCGCCAGCAAGACCACCACCACCGCCCAGCAAGACTACCACCATCACCACCCCCATGTATACCTCTTCTCTGCCTCTATCTCTCTCTCTCTTGCACACACACACACATACACATTCTGAACAAACCCCCCACCCAGCTCTCTCCCTTTCCCTCCTCTGTTTTTCTCTCTCTCTCTCTCACACACACAGAGACACCTCTCAAGCTCCCCTTTTGCGCAAAAGAACCCCCCCCCCCATCCAGCTCTCCCCCTCTCTATCCTCTACTTCTCTCTCTATCTCTCACACAGACGCACAGACATAGCCCACCCCTTTCTTCCCCCTCTGCGCAATCCACCTCACAAACACAGAGACCCCCCTCTTCTTCGCTTCTCTCACGCCCATATACACATCCCTTTCTCTCCTCATCTTCTCTTCTCTGCAACACATCAAACACACCCACACATAGAGAACACGCGCACACTCGGCACATACCCACATCGCACACCCCCACAGCATCGCACGCACGCACACCCAACACACAAGCAAACTCTCAGCACACATACGCATTGCACATGACGTGTTTGTTGAAATGACTGAGAAAAATATCATCCCAATCTCTAGGTTTTGTTTGGTTTTAGTATTTTGATGTGTTTTGGTTGTGCAATGTTTGGGGCTTAATGGAAAAAGTCTTGGTTTGATTGGTTGCTGAAAACCTGTTTTATTGTAAATATAGAATACTTAATGTTTGATTACTTGGAGCTTTGATGTTAGATTAGTTTCTTTGATATATAACATTATGCTTTTTATGTATCATACATGCATGAATTAGGTGAAAGGAAGGTAGATTGAAAAATTTGGGGGTTAATTTGCTTTGATGTGTTCGACTTATTTTAGTGTGTTTTCATGGTCATTACCTAGATCGCACAATTTGTGCATTTCTTTGGTAGAAGAGCGTGAATTTCTTCAAATTGAGAACCCCTGTACTTGTTGATATGGTTCTTCATGCTTTTATTGGTTTTTGATATGAGCAAAATTTTTCATGGTTGTATCATTAGATTGGGGAATGGTTCCATTGCAAGTATTGAATTTGTTTTTCATCATTTTGTGGGAGAATCTTATAATATGACCATTACACAATTGGAACATGAGATTTTTGCTATATAAGCATTGAGTTGAACTCCTAACCTTCTAGATTAATGAAGCTTGCACGTCCTCATCAAAGTATTGATTCTTTTTTTTTTTTGTTCCCTTTGAATATTTGCAAGATTTTATTGTCTCTAATCAACAATGGTTTGTCTGCTCTAGTTATTTTCTAATTCTATGTTTTAAGGATATCTATTGTGTATAATTTTTTTCAGTTGTTTGGTTAGTGTATATATTTTAATTATGTTAATGTGCATACAATGAATAGAAATGTAGAACCTCACCTAATTATACATTTGTTTTCTTCATTTATTCCAAGGACTAATATTTTATTCCAAGGTTTGCTCTGTTTTAATTGTGTGGTATGACACAGATGATATTATACAAAATATAATGTTCACATGTATTCTAGGTAATTATGGGAAGACTATATATTTGCCTTGAAAATTTGCCCTTT